TTCGGTCTAATCACCATTCTTACTACTGTAAAAGACTGCCTTCGGAAATATACTGACAAAATGTATTGAATCAGCGGTGTCAATCAGATGTGGATTATCAAAATGACTACAGATGTGCTGTGCAATTAGAAAAATGTGTTAACCTCGGGTTAGTAATGTCGCTGAAAACGATTATATCAGCTAAACGTCCGTCAACTACATTCTAGTCAAAAAGATACATATTCTATATGAGTTTTTATGTTACAAAAATACACTTGAAAATGGTATTTTTCAATTGATTTGAAACAATTCAACGTAACATGTAGACCTTTGCTGAATATGAAAATGAGTACTTTATTTAAAAAACAAATTATAATGTTATATGATTATCTATATGTTACCGTATGCCTTTCGACAATGAGCAAAACCCATTTTGCATAGCAAGCCATACAAAGTTATAGAATAACAAATGTTAAGCAATTCAACCGATGAAAACTAACAGCCTGATTTATGTACAAAACAATAAATAAAAAATAAAGATGACATAAAGCAACAAACAAAAACAACTGAATTAAAGGCTCCTGACCGCTTGCCTACAAAAAATCAAACGTAATGGATAGTTATCAAAATATGTTTTGGGGAAAAAATGAAAATAAAATATGTGACCAGCCATGAGATTTTCAGGCTTTTGGAGGTACCAGGGTCGAAATTAGTTTTTTGCATTTTTATGAAGTGTACATAGATTCAAAACACCCTGACAAGTTATTTTGCTAGATTCTTCAAAATAACAGAATAATTGTCATTTTTGTTACTTTCGATTTTATTAAAATTTTTCATATTTTCAATTTTCATATGATGTTCATCTATCATTGTTGCTATGTCTTATTTTTTTATTCTTTTTTTTTTTTTGAAAGGGGGGGGGGGGTCAAGTCTTTTTAGATTAATCAAAGGGTAATTGTAGCTTATATAACTAAATAACCGAATGATTTTAGTTCTGTTACCATAGCAACAATGACTTAAACGCTTTTCTTTCTTTCGTAAAGAAAACTACATCAATGCTAAGAAAGTGAATACCAAGATATATAATAAACCATCAAGGAGATGTGTATTATTTGATATGCTTTCTTATATTGATTCTGTTGACAGTTTGGACTTTCAACTCTTTACACTACACTTCCACACAATCTTATCAAACAGAAGTTTTCCTATTTAATTAAATGGTCGTTTTGGTAAATCTGAATGCAAATATATTTGCTGCAACTCATTTAAAGCCTTCTTCTCTAACGAGAAAGTAACTATGCTTCATATACTTACTGGAGGTGTGATGAGATGATTGAAGCCGATAATTTTCTCCTTGATAATATTTATGCACGTTTCGGCAAAAAAGTTTATCGACAGGTTGTAGGTATTCTTATGGACACTAACTGCGCCCTTTTGATAGCAGACTTGTTCTTGTACTGTTATGAATCACAGTTTATGACCAAACTGAGTAAAGATCCGTCAAAATTGCATTTAATTGATAAATTCAACAACACTTATCGTTATCTTGATGATATTCTTTCGTTAAATAATCAAGAATTTTCTAAATATACTGCCGAAATTTAGCCTAAGGAACTTACGTTAAATAAATCAAAAATAAACGGTATTAACTGTCCTTTCCTAGATTTAGATATTTCAGTTTTACACGGGAAACCCCACACTAAAATTTACGACAAAAGGGACGACTTTTGGTTCCCTCTTGTTAATTTTCCTTTTTTGGATGTTGATGTTCCTTTTGCACCATCTTACGCTGTTTATATATCACAACTCGATCGTTATGCCTGTGTCTGTTGTGATGTTTCGGATTTCACTGAACGTAATCTATGTTTTACTGGTAAATTATTATGTAAGGGATTTCGTTACCACAAATTACTTAATACCTTTACTAAATTCTTACATAGATATAAAGAGTTGGTTTTGAAGTTTGGTTGTACCTGTAGAAAACTTATTTCAAACGGGATAGCACATCCTCATTTTTACGGAGATGTTGTTTACCGTGCCCAAAAATTTAGAAAGGATCCTGGTAAACTTATCGATCCTTAAACTTATTCTAAAAGATTACCAATACAACACTGTAATTAGATCTTTGAATATTGTTTGTATTGGTATTAGTATTGATTTTGTTATCAGTAAATTAAAAGCAAACTAAATATTATTGTTATATACATATGCATAGTCATGGCTCTACAATCTGTCGATGCCTGTATCTTGGCATTGCACAAGGTCATGTTTTTCTCTGACCGTTGATGACGTCTTTACATTAAATCCATTGGATGTTGTATGTGTACTGATTGATAATTTAGTCTTAGATGCATAATCTTTTTTAATTAGTTATTATTGGCTTTGAACTAGCTGCCAGTAACTGCGAGGACTCTCAGATCTGTACTTAAGTGTTTTTTGTTTTTTTTTGTTGTTGGGGTGTACAAGTAGCCAGCCACGTCCCCTCTGTGTTTTTGTTAGATGTATTTCTATTTGTATCCATCTGATGAGTTAAGCCTTTTTCAACTGATTTTCATACTGTGTTCTTATGTTGTACTGTTACACCACTATCCCAGGTTAGGGGGAGGGTTGGGCGCCTACTAACATGTTTAACCCCGCCACATTCTGTATGTGCCTGTCCCAAGTCAGGAGCCTGTAATTTAGTGGTTGTCGTTTGTTGCTGTGTTACATATTTGTTTTTTGTTCATTATTTTGTACTTAAATTAGGTCAATAGTTTTCTCGTTTGAATTATTTTACATTTGTCATTTCGGGGCCTTTTATAGCTGCTCATGCGGCATGGGCTTTGCTCACTGTTGAAGGCCGTACGGTGACCTATAGTTGTTAATTTCTGTGTTATTTGGTCACTTGTGAGTAGTTGTCTCATAGGCAATCATACCACATCTCCTTTTTTTATATTTCTTATGTTCATTTATTATCTTATTGTGAATACATTGTGTTCATGTATCCTGACAAAGTGATTCAATCAAATATCTGTTAATGCAGAGTGAGATGAAAAATCAAACAGGATGGTCAATAATCTTAGGGCATGCAGGTGAAAGGGATATAAGAAACGTCTTCTTTACGTTGTTCTTAGACAGTCATGGATAATTGAAAAAACTAGGAATAAACATGGGTTGAGATAATATTGGGGTCCCCTGATGGGCGGGTATATCTTTCTTGATTTACACGTACCAGCTGTATATGTCCATACATATGTTCATAGTTTCCATTACAATGTGAAGCAATGAGATTTACTCCCCAAAACTTGGGTGTTCATTCTTCAATATGATTCGTGAAAGTTATAATTTTCGGTACTTTATTTTTCTAAATAATGTCTCGCAATTGTGATATAAATTAAACCATTTGTATAATCGAAAACATATTAATGATTCAGGATAAAGATATTTACGCAATGAATCTAAAAGATAAATTGTGTGAATTTAGAACGCGATTTTAAACGGGACTTTAACCTTAATTATTAATTTTACGTAAAGAATCTACTTGTTTTGTATATAAACAATATATAATTCTAATTACCTCAAGTCATGACAAAATGAAACTTCAATTTATCGCATGATATAATTGCACATTCAATAACAGGTGCTCTGATTACGTTACGTGATTTTACATCGACGTTTTCACATTATGACGTTTACCGCTATAAGCCTGGATATGTCATGGAGGGTCACATATATCTCCATTATCTCGAATTAAATCTAACAGTTCCCTAACTATCCATATATATTGAATATGTTGTATATTCTATAGTCTTTAACTATTATGTATTTGTATTTATTACATAAAAAGATTTAAAGTAACTAACTGGCTTGTTATAAATGATTACAATGTTATGATTATAACCGAAAAATACCTTTTGTTGCTTATTGTTATGTAAAGATTTTTCGAACAATATTTAATTGACAGGTGTACAGAATTACCAAATAAAATGAAGTTAAATAAGATTTAGTGCTTGAATTCACATTAATAACAATTGCAAAGAAGCTTTTTTCAATAACATTAAATTTATCGAATGTAAAGAAAGAATGCTGTTTTTTGTTTATCGTCCAGCACTGGAAAAAATAAAGTTTTTGGGGTTGCCTTTCTCGTCACTAGTAAGCGAATTTTAGTCCGAAACATTCATTTTGGTCTTAACATCATATAAAAAGACTGCACACTAAATTGCTAAGTGATGTTCAGTCTTTCAGTAACATGTCAGATTAATTAACTGTGGTTAATTCAGTACTGTTCAGACAATTCGCTTGCAGTCAATTCATTACTGTTCAGTAGTTTTTTTAGACAATTCAGTACTGATTAATTTTGTTTCTGATCTGTATACGTGAATACCAACTACATATATCAATTGCCGACAAGCGAATGATTTGAACAGTACTGAATTTATCGCAATGGTTGAGTCTGAACAATAACTTAATATCAATTAATAATTTATTTTTCAATCTTTTAAGAGCTCTACAGATCAAAATGACAGTTTCAGACTAAAATGCATTCAATAGTGTATGTTAAGCAGAAAAAATAAGTCCATAAGTCCAAAAGAAAAAAAAAGATTTGAACATCCTAAAAACTTCGAAAAATCTGTAAGAAAACATTTAATTCTTTTATATTTTATGATATGCTTTTTGTTATCTTATGTTTTAACTGCAAACATATGCTAGAAATCATTGAAAGTGTAAACTCTTCATGCTTGTATCAATGAAATAGTTTTGATTCTTTGCTTAAATTGTATTTTGAACTTTTAAAACTTTATCAAATTTATGTAAGAAGGTAATGCTGGAAGGTGACGCTACCGGAACACTTGAGACGATTCCCGTTGTTTTGTATGGTTCATCATGCTAAATGTTCAGTTTCTTTTAACAATCATTTGGTCACGGTGTTGTCAGTTCTTTGATTTGCTGATTCCTTTTTTTACAATTACATTAAATAAAAAATTACACAAACTAAAGGAAACAACTAATTGTTTATTTAATTTTTTCTTATTCTTTATTGCTTCTTTGGTCAGTTGTTATTTTGTATTGGTACTTTTTGGTCGGTACATAAGAATGTTTCGACTTGATGATATTTGAGATATAAACCATGTTAATCACAACGTAATAAATAGTCTAAATAGATACTTTGTGACATCACCATGATATTTAAAATTTAGTAGCTGATTTGTGTCAATTCAGTACACTAACAGTAAACTTCAGGAAAAGTGGGTCGAAAAATATCAAAGGGATACTCGAACTCATTGTCGAAAACAAACTGACACCTCCATGAAAAAAAGGAAAAAAGACAAACAACAGTACACAAAACTCATTACAGAAAACTGAAGACTGAGCAACACCCATCCAAAAAAGGGGGTGATCACAGGTGCTCCAGAAGGTTAAGCAGATTCTGCTCTTCACGAGGCACCCGTCGTGTTGATCATGTAAGGACACAACAGTAATTGTCAAAGTATCGCATAAATATGAATGGAAGTCCCAAGTACACTTGATATGTCACCAACATGACTAAAATGTCATATCGGTTTTACGATCGCAAAGAACAATGAAGTAAGAATCAAAATTGCGATGTACTGTTTTCCACATGTATAAAATGTCTGAAATTGATTGACAGATAGCTATAATACATCCTGTCAATCAACTTAAGGGATTTCATGTTACCGTTCATTCTTGTTTAACACAACGAAAAGTTATAATGATATGTTTTTTATCGTCAATCAGCTTGTGGATCAACTATATAAGGTCGTTCATTCTTAACGTCATCACACTGAAAAAGTACAGTTTCATAAAGAATATTACATCAATACATTATCGAGCAAATAATACAAAAAATATCCTCTTTGAAGGTAGAGATTATATACACTAGTTTTGTCTGAAAGCTTACACTTTTAAAAAGTTCAACTCTCTTTAATAAAAATCAGTTCGTTAACTATAACAGTTTTATAATGCCTATATGTTACGTGGTCACGTGGTTTTTGGATTACTCGTGCAATGTTGGTGGTGGTATCGCAAGTAAGGATGGCCTTCGTGTTTTCCTCTTATCAAATATTTCTTGATTTCTTATACCGTCTGTATTTTCTTGTGACAATGACCTGTGTAAACAGGAAAGAGAAAACTGAAAATCACTATTCACAGAACGTTCACTTGACTTCCGGTAGGTTTTGTCATCTGGAAGTGCCATTAAGGAAATCTTTCTTTGGCGTTTATCAAAAGCTTCCAAGTTGTTGGAATTCATCGCAGTTTCGTCAACACTTTGTAAATAAGGTCGAAATCCCATGTTGGCCGTTGCTGGCAGCGATTTGCATCGTTCTCTTCTTGCTGAAACGGACTCTCTTCTTCGTGTGTCTTTGTCCTGTAAACATAACTACTTTGTTCATCATGTGATTAAAACATAATAAATATGTAAATATCTTTCGCCTAAAATATTACTCATAGAGTAAGGCAGTGAATTAATACCGACCAAATACTTTACTTATTTTTAATTTTCAAATATTTATATAGATTACATTGACCTTCATTAAATTTGCTATTTGTAACGCTTTAAAAAAAATACATCTATACTGAATGCTTGTAAAGGTAGAATCAATGTACAAAAAAAAAGGTTTCGCGATGATTGAGAAAAAGAATAGCGATTAACCGATAATAAACGGTAATCCATAATATAATCGATAACACGAAAATATACTATCTGAAGTACATCAATGACACTTATTATAGTGCACCAGATGCGCATGTCCACAATTAATTTCTCGTATTTTATATAATATTTACAATATGTTTATCCTCTTCTTGTTCCTTCTTTGTCGACGCAGCTCCATCTAACCATTTTAATTCATGCTCCGAGAAAAGATAGTCCATTCCTTTTCTGACAAAACATGTTGCGAGAACCTTTTAAGAAAAGGAAAGAAATTGGTCTTTTATACTAAATGTTGATACAAACTTAAAGTCATGGTAATATTGTTATAAAAGGAAGAGAATATAGTTTTTTGCATCGTTGTTTTATTCTCTCTCCATTTTCTTAAATAAAAGTTTGAATATTTTTTGACAAAATTATAATGAGCAAAGGATGTAATTTCACGACCGATAATAGTTCATCCATCAACAAAACATGGTGTTAACCATTGCTCCTTAGTCTTAGCTAAAGTTTTGTTTCCTAGTAATTTGTAATAGTGTTTGGTTGGGTTTTTTTAGCGTTTTTATTGCATTGTGTAATAGTCACAGTGGTTTAAGCAGTGTGTAATCAACTGTATATCATTGAACTTGATTGCAAAGCTCTTTACTATGCATCATAGTTGACAACAATTCTAATATGACGTTCTTCAAACGCTTTGGGTACACATTCGTGGTAAAATATGAATATATTGGTATGTCAGCTGATCGTCAACGTCATGGATTGTTTGGGTTGTTCCAATCTTACTCAAACGTCTTTTGCTTTTTATAAATGAATAACCCAAGGCCAGACGGTATAAATGACGTCATTGAACGATGACGTAAAAATTTCAGCATTTTACGGGAATATGCACGAATTTAAAACTGAAAGTCGTCAAAAACATGAAAACATAAATAAACAATGATAAGAATTTGTTGGAAGCCCATTTTCTTAAATAAAAGTAAGATAATCAATCAATTTTGTCTAAACCTCTCTTAGTATGTTATTGTAAATCTTTTGAGCATGTCACTTATTCAGTTTTCTTCGTATTTTACGCCAATATTAATAGTGTGTTCAATTACGGGAACAGCAATTATTTCCCTTTACCTAGAGCGCTTAGAAACAAAAAAATTGATGTCTTTGTCCTATAAGAATAGAAATAATTAATGGAAGCTTGACCACTCGATTTCGCTCGTGGTAAAATATTTTGCATAAAACCCTTGGTAAAATCACTATAAATTCAAGCATCCATGAATTATTTCTTAAATAACTTGGCATTTGTATTTGTTCATATATCGTTATCATATCCCTTTTTTTTTTTTTTTTTGTTCATCGATATTTTCAATCAGCAATAATCAAGAAAAAAATCTATATTGTTATGTTGGGCTGTTACACAACTGTCTCAGGTTATGGGACCCGCAAACATGTTTAACCCCGCCACATTCTGTATGTGCCTGTTCCAAGTCAGGATCCTGTCATTCAGTGATTGTCGTTTATTGCTCTATGTCATATTTGTGTTTCGTTCACTGTTTTGTACATATATCAGGTCGATAGTTTTCTCGTTGGGTTGTTTTACATTTGTAATTTATAGCTGACTATGTGGTATGGGTTGTATTCACTGTTGAAGGCCGAACGGTGACTTATAGTTGTTAACCTCTATGTCATTTGGTCTCTGGTGGATAGTTGTCTCATTAGCATTCATACTACATCTTATTTTTATACTAACATATCAAAAACATGATTACTTACCATCACAGGAAAAATTATTGATATCTTTTTATAACTTTTAACGCCCCATAAAACACCCAAACAAATGACTTGAAGTACTGTGAAAAGATGAACTTTCTTCAATGGAACATGTCGCAGATATTGATAATCAGGCTGGTATTTTTGCGGAATAAATATAATGCTTATTCTTTGCATTAACTGAAAAAAAATGTAAATCATACTAATAATACATCACATGAAAAGTCATGACAGGCTATGTAGTCAAACATAAGTATTTACCTTTTTTCAAACTCAATATTGGAATGTGCAAGAATGAGTTTTCTTTTTGGTAATGAATATTTAACTTTATTATATCATTTTGAATGTAAAGTTAAATGTCATCTTGGAAAAAAAGGCAGTTTTAAAAAATATAATGAATTTAAAAAAAAACAATTAGCCAAGAGAACAATATTCAGTTGTATTTCATTTGAAAATAACAGAAGCAATTGCTAATTAGTGCATACATGTATCTATGTCGTTAATTTAAAACAACACAGTGCTAAACAGTAGACAGTGAAACTAAACCTGTTGGTTTTTCATTTGACATGAATCTTAAAAATGGTCGTTCTGATGAACATGTGACAATATATTGATTGATTAATAGATTGGTATTTTAATGCCTCTTTCAAAACTATTTTGTTATTTCTTGGCGGTCATTTTTATTGGTAAAGGAAGCCGGAATGCCTGGAAAGAACCAGCAACCTTCGTTAGGAAAACAGACAATTTTAGTCAATTTAGATTGGAGTCGAACGCACCTACCACGTGCCGGAGTGTGACAGGCTAATGATACAGTAGTTGGACTACTTAGGCCACTCGGGCACCGAGGCCACTATGTGACTTTATAAAATCGTCACTCAACTATACATGTTCTATCATTTCTTTTATTCATTAAATTGCAAATACAATGCAAGAATACGCTATTTTGAAGTCGTTTATTTGACTTTGTGCGCGTGAATTGTTATTTCAAGTACAATACACCCCTTGATTTTCGCTTCTAAAATATTACAGATTGCTAATTTATATCAACTCTACCAACATTCTGATCAAAAAGAGGTAAAAAAAATATAAGATTACTGACCTGCATTCCATTTAGGGAAGCAACACCCATGTAAAGAAACACACCATATAGTACTGGCATTGGTATAAACTATAAATATTCAAATCAAAAAGTTGATCAATATTATACATATAACAAATATCATACATGGTATATGTGCAATCCACCATAGAAGAAGGGGAATGTAACAATGAGATGTTGTTTGCGGTAACACATTAATGGATGTTTTTGTGTATGTTGTAAGTGCAGACAAGGTGCTTGTTTTAAATTACGTCTGACTCCGCGATATTTGTTCTACTATTTATTGCACTTAATGGTAAAACAAACCTATATATATAAAGATAACCTATATAAACGTTGGTCCATATTTTGTTTAAGAGATTGCGATTTCCACTCTAGCCATGCATCTCCTTAATAAAAAAAAAGGTTTAGTAGCCTTTCATAAACATAAACTTACCTTGAGAACTGAAGTTATTAGAACAGCGAAACCACTCAGTATTCCCACAAGTAACGCTGTTACCCTCTGTTCCCTATAAATATTAAAAAATAGTTCAAATAATTAGACATTATTGTCATTGACATCATCAAAACGGGATACAACTCTTTGTTGGGTAAAAGCACATATTTCTATCATTAGGTGAAGTGACTTATGCATGTACATGATATTTTGACAGTCACTAGTCTTTGATCTTTATTATCGATTTATCATGAAATATTTCCCTTTTCTGTTGTTGATTATTCTCTTCATTTCTTATTTGTTTTTCATGCTTTATTTATTGAGTTAGACTCTCGTATTAATGTTTGTTATCATGGAAGGGTTATTCTTTTCTTGTCCATGATTAAGCTTCTTAATTACCTCACACCAAGAAAAGTTGGTTTCTCTCCAGGAGCAGTACATTCCGATTCTCTTGATAAACTCTTTATGTGCGCCAGCGCCGACACAGTGGCTGCAACATACCATGGAAGTCCAAATAACGAAAGAGCCACTATCAATATACCAAGTACTAACATATCTAAATGGTATCCTCCTCCTTTCTGAAATAACACAAATTTTTGCAGGTTGGTAATAAAATCTTGATAACAAATAAAAAAACATATGTTTAAATCCGAATAATCAATCAAATATAATACTACTACAGAGAATGCCTATCTTCCCAGAGCACCGAACTTAACTCCAATTTTTAGACAATTAATTTGCCTTAGAGCTCCGTATTGTTGTTATACTTTTTTGCTTAGCCAATATAATTGTCAGCTGTGTTCTTCTCGACTTTAGTTTGCCTGTTCTAAGTAAAGGGAAGGGCAATATTTGTTTTTAATCATTTTGATAGCAAATATGCCCTAACATACACTTTAAACAAGAATTTTGTCTTTCATATATGATAACATGTCCATCATTTTAATCACCACTCCACAGAAACAATATTTATTTAACCTATGATCATGTTTACAATTTTTGTATTTTCACAGGTTTGAATAATGATTCAATTTAAAAATTCATTTGAATTTTCAATGTCCCTTCAAATTAAAAGTTTTGATTCTCCCTGTCCTTTTGATATAAAAGTAGTAATGTTTCATCAATCTAAAAAACAAAATGTTTAAAATGTATTTATTAAAAATCTGTCAAAATAAAGATTAAAAGTTATTTTAAAAGATATGTATTGCTGTTTTCACGTTTATTTGGCATAATTTTAAAATAGATACAGAACTGCTAAAAGTTTACTTCAAATGTGTCTTTTGAATCAAACAATTAGGATTGTCTGTTTATAAATGTTGAAATTATAAAGAAACTAAAGTTTCAACTCCTTCAGGAAGTGTTTGCCTTAGATGGATTTGGCTTTTCTTCTTGGTCATATAGATCTTCAACTGTTTCGGTTCTTATACATCCTTGGCTTTCAAATATTCGGCTTTGAGCGGTCCTGATGAAGGTAGGCCAGAAAACCGCTTTGGACGCATAAAATTTATAATGTGTTGTTTTCATTTTTTAGGAAGCTTCACTCTTGGTTTCACTGTCATACGTCTTGACCATCTATTTGTTTTACAATACACTAAAATTGCGAATTAAAAATTTGTATTTTTATAAAACGATTGCATGATGCGAAATAAACAAACCCTAAGTTTATGAGCTGGTCGATTAACGATAACTGCTGTTATTTGCTGGTCCATGAATATCAGGATTGTCGTCAGTACTGCGGGAATAGCAGCGGCTAATATCAACCACCAGGGATTTTTATCACTCCAAGGATTAATGAACCAACCACGGGCAGCATTACTAGGCTGGAATTAAAACATCTGTTATGTGTTAATGTTCTTTTTATAGCCTTTAAAGTGTTAAAGCTGTTTGTTTTATTTTTCGGTATCATAAGTTGTCATACTTTAATCGGATATTTCGTCAGATAACTTATTGTTCATGACATTGCAAGACAGCAAAAATAGGTACTAAATTTCTTTTAATATTTCCGGTAAGCGAATAATCATTTAGGAAATTGATTCAATATGTTTGTCATTATGGCTTGAAATAAACGTTCATTTTGTCGAGTAATATCATTGATAGCTTAAAAGTGGTCTCTGGTGGTGTCTTTTTTTTAATCCAAATGTTTAGCCTTAAAAATGGAAAATATTTCAAATAAACCATGCTCTTTATCAACATACCTTGAACTCAGTAGGAACTGATAATTTTGGTGTCGGAACGCCAAGTAATGCATCCAGTACAACCATAGATATAATGGACAGTAAAACTCCGAAGTCACTGATAGTACGTCTAATCTATAATAATAAGAAATGATATTATTGAGAACAAAATTCAAAACAATAAAACAACGAAGAAAGAACAATATAAAATCCGAGCATTGAACAAAAAGCCTTTATAACTTTTACAAATATCATATTGGAAAAAGTAATCATTATCATTAATTAAAATTACAAAACTACAGTCCTAGGGGTAATATAACATACAAAACAAAAAAACAAAAATATCTTTTTTAAATCCTGATTTGTTTTCTTATCAGGATTTCCTTGTAAGGGAGATGCTGCTTACAACGGAGACATTGTACAAATGGTTTGCAGGGATAAATCTAGTCGTCTTGTTGAAAGTTTTCCGAACGCCGTAATTGGTTTTGTTGGCAGTTTGGGGTATATTTGTCGTACACAATACTGTTCTTCTTTTTCTTGTACATGATTATCGTCAAAATTTATAGAAGTGAATATATGCATTGTGGATGATATATGCCTAGCAGGAGAAGCTTATACCGCCGACGCATATAGTCTCTCTTCTTTTTGATTTCATGCGATTCTCACAGTTTCTGTTGATGACCTTGGTTCATGAGATTTGAACATTGGTAAACTACGTTCGCCTTCATGTAAATAATTTGAGTAATTTTAGGATGCCTGTGCCAAGTCGGGAGTGTGACAGTTGTTGTCCATTTGTTTGGTGTGTTTTGTCGTTTGATTTTGCCATGTGATTGGGGATTTTCCGATTGAATTTTCCTCGGAGTTCGGTATTTTTGTGATTTTGCTTTTTTTTTTAAATTGTTCAGGTTGACTGTTGCAGCTACAAAAAAAACGACATGGTTACACTTCCGGAGAACAAACGTTCACCTACGACTTTATGATGGCATTGTTTTCAATAAAAAAGAGTCAAAAGTTACCAAAGATACCAAAGGGACATTCAATTACATAAGTCAAAAATAAACTTTCAACGGCATGTCAAAAAAAAAAGACCAAAAGACAAACAACAGTATACAAAACACAACACAGAAAACTAAAGATTGAGTAACACGAACCAAATCAAAAGGTGTATTGTGAACTGTTGACTTTCACCTTGTTACTTTTGGCCAATGTGATGCGCATCGTCCTTCGATGTGGGTTTTTTTATTTAATATTTCCGTTGTTTCTTCTCTTACGATGTGCTTGCATTATTTAAAACAATGATACAAAAATTTCGGTTTTTAATCAAATCTTACCGTTGCTGTTGCAAACGTTCCGCCTTTGATATTAACTAAAATAATTGCAATTCCAAATGTTCCTAGAAAAAGCAGAATGGAAAAAAAGAACACATTCGGTACATACGGTTTGTCGTCACATCCGCTTCCGGTAAGATTACCACCATAATCAGAACAATTGAACGGAAGCACATTATGGTGTTGAGTGCCCGGATCTTGAACTGAATAATTGAAATCTCGTTCATAGACACTGATTACTGACAGGTTCGTTGTATATTCAGAAACATTGTTAACATTAGTATAATTATAAGACGGTATTGTAAAGTTTTCACACACACATGAATCTGCTGATGACGCATGGTGATGAATCGGAAAATCATTTTCAACCTTAATCAAATTTTCAAAAGCTTGATATATGAATATCAGTGCAATTAGGCAAGCAAAACATTCTTCTGTAAATCTTGTTATGTATCGAACTAATGCACTTAAGTCTAGTGCTACGATTACAAAAATGATGAATGCAATCCATAATCCAACCCAGCATCTAAAGGGCATATAGTCCCAATCTTGGTCCCTGTAAAAAAGATAGGTATTCTTATACGTACAAATGTGGCAGTAAGTGGTAATAAAAAAATCATGCAAGCACGTCGATTTAAAAAGTTTTTACCGCTAATGATAAATCAATGTTGTCACAATTTCAGAAGTTTGAAGGAATAGGTAGGTCGGAATAAAAGCCAATTAATGTGGACTAATCTTCATATTTATTCATTCATCTTTTTGCTTTAAGTGTCGCTTTATTTCTTTTTAATCTAGTTAAAAAATCTGTAGTCGAATTCCTAAATAGAGGATTTATATTGTCAGTATTTAGTCTTGCAAAGTTAGATTAAGATTGCCAAAAAAATTAAAAAGATTTAAACTTATATTTCCTGTGGCTGCTCTCACTCCTTTAATCAAGGTTGTTTTTTTGTTTTTTTGTTTTTTTTTTTGTTTTTTTTTTGTTTTTTTGGCTTCTCTCACTATGTCTTTTGCACTTGAATTGAGGATAACAAATACTATATAAATGAATAACTAGAGTTTATTTTGTATTTACATTAACATTATATCAACCATTATAGTTACGAAATGGAAGTACACTATAACCAACACATTGTTATATCTTGGTTTTTGTTTTATCTATATTTAGCTTAAGTTGGCAGAAACTACGAAATGTATTTATAATATTCTGTATTAAACATAACTCACAAAAAACAGTAACATCTTGGTTTTTGTTTTATCTATATTTAGCTTAAGTTGGCAGAAACTACGAAATGTATTTATAATATTCTGTATTAAACATAACTCACAAAAAAAAGTAACATCTTGGTTTTTGTTTTATCTATATTTAGCTTAAGTTGGCAGAAACTACGAAATGTATTTATAATATTCTGTATTAAACATAACTCACAAAAAAAAGTAACATCTTGGTTTTTGTTTTATCTATATTTAGCTTAAGTTGGCAGAAACTACGAAATGTATTTATAATATTCTGTATTAAACATAACTCACAAAAAAAAGTAACATCTTGGTTTTTGTTTTATCTATATTTAGCTTAAGTTGGCAGAAACTACGAAATGTATTTATAATATTCTGTATTAAACATAACTCACAAAAAAAAGTAACATCTTGGTTTTTGTTTTATCTATATTTAGCTTAAGTTGGCAGAAACTACGAAATGTATTTATAATATTCTGTATTAAACATAACTCACAAAAAAAAGTAACATCTTGGTTTTTGTTTTATCTATATTTAGCTTAAGTTGGCAGAAACTACGAAATGTATTTATAATATTCTGTATTAAACATAACTCACAAAAAAAAGTAACATCTTGGTTTTTGTTTTATCTATATTTAGTTTAAGTTGGCAGAAACTACGAAATGTATTTATAATATTCTGTATTAAACATAACTCACAAAAAAAAGTAACATCTTGGTTTTTGTTTTATCTATATTTAGCTTAAGTTGGCAGAAACTACGAAATGTATTTATAATATTCTGTATTAAACATAACTCACAAAAAAAAGTAACATCTTGGTTTTTGTTTTATCTATATTTAGCTTAAGTTGGCAGAAACTACGAAATGTATTTATAATATTCTGTATTAAACATAACTCACAAAAAAAAGTAACATCTTGGTTTTTGTTTTATCTATATTTAGCTTAAGTTGGCAGAAACTACGAAATGTATTTATAATATTCTGTATTAAACATAACTCACAAAAAAAAGTAACATCTTGGTTTTTGTTTTATCTATATTTAGCTTAAGTTGGCAGAAACTACGAAATGTATTTATAATATTCTGTATTAAACATAACTCACAAAAAAAAGTAACATCTTGGTTTTTGTTTTATCTATATTTAGTTTAAGTTGGCAGAAACTACGAAATGTATTTATAATATTCTGTATTAAACATAACTCACAAAAAAAAGTAACATCTTGGTTTTTGTTTTATCTATATTTAGTTTAAGTTGGCAGAAACTACGAAATGTATTTATAATATTCTGTATTAAACATAACTCACAAAAAAAAGTAACATCTTGGTTTTTGTTTTATCTATATTTAGCTTAAGTTGGCAGAAACTACGAAATGTATTTATAATATTCTGTATTAAACATAACTCACAAAAAAAAGTAACATCTTGGTTTTTGTTTTATCTATATTTAGCTTAAGTTGGCAGAAACTACGAAATGTATTTATAATATTCTGTATTAAACATAACTCACAAAAAAAAGTAACATCTTGGTTTTTGTTTTATCTATATTTAGTTTAAGTTGGCAGAAACTACGAAATGTATTTATAATATTCTGTATTAAACATAACTCACAAAAAAAAGTAACATCTTGGTTTTTGTTTTATCTATATTTAGTTTAAGTTGGCAGAAACTACGAAATGTATTTATAATATTCTGTATTAAACATAACTCACAAAAAAAAGTAACATCTTGGTTTTTGTTTTATCTATATTTAGCTTAAGTTGGCAGAAACTACGAAATGTATTTATAATATTCTGTATTAAACATAACTCACAAAAACTAGAGGCTCTAAAGAGCCTGTGTCGCTCACCTTGGTCTATGTGCATATTAAACAAAGGACACAGATGGATTCATGACAAAATTGTGTTTTGGTGATGGTGATGTGTTTGTAGATCTTACTTTACTGAACATTCTTGCTCCTTACTACTATCTCTATCTATAATGAACTTGGCCCAGTAATTACAGTGGAAAATACTTTGTAAAAATTTACAAAAATTTACAAAATTTATGAAAATTGTAAAAAATTGACTATAAAGGGCAATAACTCTTTAAGGGGTCAATTGACAATTTTGGTCATTTGCCTTATTTGTAGATCTAACTTTGCTGTACATTATTGCTGTTTACAGTTTATCTCTATCTATAATAATATTCAAGATAATAACCAAAAGCTGCAAAATTTTCTTAAAATTACCAATTCAGGGGCAGCAACCCAACAACGTGTTGCCTGATTGGTCTGCAAATTTCAGGGCAGATAGATCTTGACCTAAGAACAATTTTATCCTCATCAGATTTGCTCTAAATGCTTTGGTTTCAGAGATATGAGCCAAAAACTGCATTTTACCCTATGTACTATTTTTTAGCCATGTCAGCCATCTTGGTTCGCAAGCGGGGTCATCGGACACATTTTTTAAACTAGATACCCTAATGATGATTGTGGACAAGTTTGGTTAAATTTGTCTGAGTAGTTTCAGAAGAGAAGATTTTTGTAAAAGATTACAAAAATTTACGAAAAATGGTTAAAAATTGACTATAAAGGGCAATAACTCCTTAAGGGGTCAACTGACCATTTTGGTCATGTTGCCTTATTTGTAGATCTAACTTTGCTGTACAGTATTGCTGTTTACAGTTTATCTCTATCTATAATAATATTCAAGATAATAACCAAAAACGGCAAAATTTCCTTAAAATTACCAATTCAGGGGCAGCAACCCAACAACGGGTTGTCCGATTCATCTGAAAATTTCAGGGCAGATAGATCTTGACCTGATAAACAATTTTACCCCATGTCAGATTTGCTCTAAATGCTTTGGTTTCAGAGATATATGCCAAAATCTACATTTTACCCCTATGTTCTATTTTTAGCCATGGCGGCCATCTTGGTTGGTTGGCCGGGTCACCGGACACATTTTTAAACTAGATACCCCAATGATGATTGTGGCCAAGTTTGGTCAAATTTGGCCCAGTAGTTTCAGAGGAGAAGATTTTTGTAAAAGTTTACGGACGACGGACGACGGACGCAGGACGACGGACGACGGACGCAAAGTGATGAGAAAAGCTCACTTGACCTTTCAGGTCAGGTGAGCTAAAAAAGAAAACTAGAGGCTCTAAAGAGCCTGTGTCGCTCACCTTGTTCTATGTGCATATTAAACAAAGGACACAGATGGATTCATGACAAAATTGTGTTTTGGTGATGGTGATGTGTTTGTTGATCTTACTTTACTGAACATTCTTGCTCCTTACTACTATCTCTATCTATAATGAACTTGGCCCGGTAATTACAGTGGAAAATACTTTGTAAAAATTTACAAAAATTTACAAAATTTATGAAAATTGTAAAAAATTGACTATAAAGGGCAATAACTCCTTAAGGGGTCAATTGACAATTTTGGTCATTTGCCTTATTTGTAGATCTAACTTTGCTGTACATTATTGCTGTTTACAGTTTATCTCTATCTATAATAATATTCAAGATAATAACCAAAAGCTGCAAAATTTTCTTAAAATTACCAATTCAGGGGCAGCAACCCAACAACGTGTTGCCTGATTGGTCTGCAAATTTCAGGGCAGATAGATCTTGACCTAATGAACAATTTTATCCTCATCAGATTTGCTCTAAATGCTTTGGTTTCAGAGATATGAGCCAAAAACTGCATTTTACCCTATGTACTATTTTTTAGCCATGTCAGCCATCTTGGTTCGCGAGCAGGGTCATCGGACACATTTTTTAAACTAGATACCCTAATGATGATTGTGGACAAGTTTGGTTAAATTTGTCTTAGTAGTTTCAGAGGAGAAGATTTTTGTAAAAAATTACAAAAATTTACGAAAAATGGTTAAAAATTGACTATAAAGGGCAATAACTCCTTAAGGGGTCAACTGACCATTTTGGTCATGTTGACTTATTTGTAGATCTTACTTTGCTGAACATTATTGCTGTTTACAGTTTATCTCTATCTATAATAATATTCAAGATAATAACCAAAAACGGCAAAATTTCCTTAAAATTACCAATTCAGGGGCAGCAACCCAACAACGGGTTGCCTGATTGGTCTGAAAATTTCAGGGCAGATAGATCTTGACCTAATGAACAATTTTATCCTATCAGATTTGCTCTAAATGCTTTGGTTTCAGAGATATGAGCCAAAAACTGCATTTTACCCTATGTACTATTTTTTAGCCATGTCGGCCATCTTGGTTTGCGGGCGGGGTCTTCGGACACATTTTTTAAACTAGATACCCTAATGATGATTGTGGACAAGTTTGGTTAAATTTGTCTTAGTAGTTTCAGAGGAGAAGATTTTTGTAAAAGATTACAAAAATTTACGAAAAATGGTTAAAAATTGACTATAAAGGGCAATAACTCCTTAAGGGGTCAACTGACCATTTTGGTCATGTTGACTTATTTGTAGATCTTACTTTGCTGAACATTATTGCTGTTTACAGTTTATCTCTATCTATAATAATATTCAAGATAATAACCAAAAACTGCAGAATTTCCTTAAAATTACCAATTCAGGGGCAGCAACCCAACAACGGGTTGTCCGATTCATCTGAAAATTTCAGGGCAGATAGATCTTGACCTGATAAACAATTTTACCCTTGTCAGATTTGCTCTAAATGCTTTGGTTTCAGAGATATATGCCAAAAACTGCATTTTACCCCTATGTTCTATTTTTAGCCATGGCGGCCATCTTGGTTGGTTTGCCGGGTCACCGGACAAATTTTTTAAACTAGATACCCCAATGATGACTGTGGCCAAGTTTGGTCAAATTTGGCCCAGTAGTTTCAGAGGAGAAGATTTTTGTAAAAGTTTACGGACGACGGACGACGGACGCAGGACGACGGATGCAGGACGACGGACGACGGACGACGGACGCAGGACGACGGACGACGGACGCAAAGTGATGAGAAAAACTCACTTGACCTTTCAGGTCAGGTGAGCTAAAAAGTAACATCTTGGTTTTTGTTTTATCTATATTTAGCTTAAGTTGGCAGAAACTACGAAATGTATTTATAATATTCTGTATTAAACATAACTCACAAAAAAAAGTAACATCTTGGTTTTTGTTTTATCTATATTTAGCTTAAGTTGGCAGAAACTACGAAATGTATTTATAATATTCTGTATTAAACATAACTGACAAAAAAAAGTAACATCTTGGTTTTTGTTTTATCTATATTTAGCTTAAGTTGGCAGAAACTACGAAATGTATTTATAATATTCTGTATTAAACATAACTCACAAAAAAAAGTAACATCTTGGTTTTTGTTTTATCTATATTTAGCTTAAGTTGGCAGAAACTACGAAATGTATTTATAATATTCTGTATTAAACATAACTCACAAAAAAAAGTAACATCTTGGTTTTTGTTTTATCTATATTTAGCTTAAGTTGGCAGAAACTACGAAATGTATTTATAATATTCTGTATTAAACATAACTGACAAAAAAAAGTAACATCTTGGTTTTTGTTTTATCTATATTTAGCTTAAGTTGGCAGAAACTACGAAATGTATTTATAATATTCTGTATTAAACATAACTCACAAAAAAAAGTAACATCTTGGTTTTTGTTTTATCTATATTTAGCTTAAGTTGGCAGAAACTACGAAATGTATTTATAATATTCTGTATTAAACATAACTCACAAAAAAAAGTAACATCTTGGTTTTTGTTTTATCTATATTTAGCTTAAGTTGGCAGAAACTACGAAATGTATTTATAATATTCTGTATTAAACATAACTCACAAAAAAAGTAACATCTTGGTTTTTGTTTTATCTATATTTAGTTTAAGTTGGCAGAAACTACGAAATGTATTTATAATATTCTGTATTAAACATAACTCACAAAAAAAAGTAACATCTTGGTTTTTGTTTTATCTATATTTAGTTTAAGTTGGCAGAAACTACGAAATGTATTTATAATATTCTGTATTAAACATAACTCACAAAAAAAAGTAACATCTTGGTTTTTGTTTTATCTATATTTAGCTTAAGTTGGCAGAAACTACGAAATGTATTTATAATATTCTGTATTAAACATAACTCACAAAAAAAAGTAACATCTTGGTTTTTGTTTTATCTATATTTAGCTTAAGTTGGCAGAAACTACGAAATGTATTTATAATATTCTGTATTAAACATAACTCAGAAAAAAAGTAACATCTTGGTTTTTGTTTAATCTATATTTAGCTTAAGTTGGCAGAAACTACGAAATGTTTTATAATATTCTGTATTAAACATAACTCACAAAAAAAAGTAACATCTTGGTTTTTGTTTTATCTATATTTCGCTTAAGTTGGCAGAAACTACGAAATGTATTTATAATATTCTGTATTAAACATAACTCACAAAAAAAAGTAACATCTTGGTTTTTGTTTTATCTATATTTAGCTTAAGTTGGCAGAAACTACGAAATGTATTTATAATATTCTGTATTAAACATAACTCACAAAAAAAAGTAACATCTTGGTTTTTGTTTTATCTATATTTAGTTTAAGTTGGCAGAAACTACGAAATGTATTAATAATATTCTGTATTAAACATAACTCACAAAAAAAAGTAACATCTTGGTTTTTGTTTTATCTATATTTAGTTTAAGTTGGCAGAAACTACGAAATGTATTAATAATATTCTGTATTAAACATAACTCACAAAAAAAAGTAACATCTTGGTTTTTGTTTAATCTATATTTAGCTTAAGTTGGCAGAAACTACGAAATGTATTTATAATATTCTGTATTAAACATAACTCACAAAAAAAGTAACATCTTGGTTTTTGTTTAATCTATATTTAGCTTAAGTTGGCAGAAACTACGAAATGTATTTATAATATTCTGTATTAAACATAACTCACAAAAAAAAGTAACATCTTGGTTTTTGTTTTATCTATATTTAGTTTAAGTTGGCAGAAACTACGAAATGTATTTATAATATTCTGTATTAAACATAACTCACAAAAAAAAGTAACAAAGTGACGTTTTTGTTTAATGTCAATTCCATTCCTTAAGACTTTAGACATTAACCTTATATTGTTTATTCGTATCATCACTGAAGACGTTGTGAATCAGCAGATGTAGTAATGATGAAAACACAAAAAAAAATAAACACTTTTTTTTCCTTTTTTTTCCTTTTGTGCATTTCATTGAAACAAAATTTACATGTGGGAGGTTTTTCTAGCTTTAAAACCAGGATAGCCCACCATTTTCTTCGACAAATGAATGAACCAGGTGTTTATCACTTGTTCCATTGATTGATAGCGTTTGAATTTGTCAGTTCATATGAACGTCTCCTTTTTGAATTTACCTTTGAGTTTGGTATTTTTAGTAATTTTTTTTCTATTATGAAAGAGGCTGGACATTCAATACTCATAGGTCTAGAAAAAAAACTGAAAAAATAATGGCTAAAATAAAGAATCTACAAAACACTACATAGATCACTACATCTGTAAAACTATAATATATATTCCTTCACTCTAACTCGGGAAACAAGAGCACATAAACACCCCCACATTAACATTAATTAACGTTAAGTGAAAAATGTCTTTCCTTAACTTAGGTTCTGATATAATAGTTTTTAACAGAGTTAATCTTTATCCTAATATGTAGAAAACAATAAAGTCACCATCCTGACAACACAAATATTCTGGTGATCACAGTTCAAAAGAGACGTTAATTCTGCGTATTATGATAATTTCCTAGTCCATGCAAAAATTGATAATCAATTTTGAGTTCTCTTGAATAAAAGTCCCCTTCATTTTTATAAAAAAAAAATGTTTTCCATTGTAAAAGGGATACATGAGAAATCAGTGTGGTACTTACACGCAAAAATTATACAGTATCATCTCTAATACCAACATTGGACCTGTACTTCCTAAGATATTCAATGGCTGACCAGAAAACAAAGCAAACACTACACCAGTAATGGCTGCGGCTAATATACATTCCATTGGTCCCTTGATTGGAAGGATAATATTTTAGTGGGAACACATTATGAGATTTAAGTATATTTTAAAAGGTCTTTAATACGAAATCGTTTTTCTTACAAATGAATCAGACAAATGATAAATTTATAATAAAAGAATAGGTGTATTGCATCTTTTCTCCAGTTATGTTTTGCATTTTCAAATGGCAATGAAGAAAAAAAAAGTGAAAGTGCAGTCACACAAAATTTTCTTTTTTTGCTTTTCAATCAATAGATTATCTGTTCAATATTTCTATTCCATAAATAAAATACCATAAAATTAGCGGTTTCTTTTCCAAGTAATCCACCAAAGGTCACATTCGGGGTCAAGGTCGCTAGGAATAAATATATAAATGACGCAAAACACTGTATATGTAATCCATCAGTAAAGTCACTCCCATACCAAGGTATTTTTCGCTTAACATCTGCTACAAGACCACCAAATAACCTGAAAATCAATCCATTTGATTTTATGAAAGCTTGCAACATGGAATCATGCGAACAACTAACACAGAGTTACACGTTCATCTTAAAAAGGTATTAGTAGATGCAAATAAATGTGATGATATATTTTATATCTCCAACAAATAATTACCTGTCAACCTGCAAAATTTCGATAGTGTTTGATTGATTAATTGATTGTTGCTTAACGTCCAGTGGCAAATATTTTATGCATTTTTAGGACGAGAAAAAATAAACAATAAATTCAATATTTTAGGTAAGTCCTGTCATTGAGGAGAAATTTAGACTGCCACTGGAAAATGAGGGTATTTTGGATAGGGACAGAAATTCGGCAAAATTCGAGGACACATCGCTTATGTCATATAGGAATTTGCAATGGAATTTTATTACCTTTTTGAGTGTCCGTTTCGACAGTCGTAGACATACGAAATAAACTTATTCCAATTTTTTATACTAGATACCCAAATTATCAAAAAATTAAAGGTTTATTATCACTATGTAATGTAAAAGTTATAAAAATATTATCACTGTTTTTTAGTAAACTTATGAAAATTTTGTGAATTGATTGTATAATAAGGTATTCTTTTTTTTTTCATATCCACCATTGTATTGTATTGTTTGTATATATGTAAATATTTCATCTTCTTGTTACACGTTTGAAATGTTTCTGAGGGATCAAATAAAGTTGTTAAGATGGCTCCATCATTGGAGTACATTGTTGTTGACAGTTACATTATTAACTTTGAACAGGCTTATTAAAGAAAATTGAACGAAAAAGGTTTTACGGCGCACATAATTTCGGTTAGTTACATATTGAACATAGGTCAGTTATAGTTACTTAAACGTACATGACTTGGATCAAATAGTATATCTTCATGTTCCTGCCTGTCCAATACAGCGTATGATATTCATTTGTCAGATAATTGTAGTGTGTTGTTACATTTAACTGCTAGTCAATTGCAGTGTATGTTTAGCATTCAGACTTTTGAAGTGTATATTTACCATCAAGACCTGTGCAGTTTCTTTTTACTTTTACGACTTTTGAAGTGTATATTTATATCCAATCCTTCGTCATTTATAACATTTACCTGCCAGTCCATTGAAGAGTGAACTTAATTAGCTGTGAAATGTTTGAATTGCTTATGTTTGCAATCAAGGCAATTGCAGTGTCTTTTACCTGTTAGCCATTTGAAGGGTATATTAACAGTCAGTCTATCGTATATATAACAATTACCTTCCAGTTCTTTGCAGGGTAGCATCTATATGAGTTTGGGGTTCTTTTTTCTTAAAGGATTGACCTGCTTTCCGAGTCTCCTGAAAATTTAAGCAAATATAAATGAAAACTGCCGAAGGTGTTATATAAATATGATACAACCTTTTATTTTAAACGCATTCAGGTCTCCTTATTCTGATAAAATCAAACGCTCGACTATTTCAACCAACATAATGTCATATTCCTAACTTTGCACATGCCTTTCCCGACGAAAATGGTGGGTTAAACCTGGTATTATAGCTAGCTAAACATCCCACTTGTATGACAGTTGTTTATAGTTCCGTACGCGTTATATTGACAAAACCCAACAGACACAATTAGTTAACGTGACAATAATATTGTGATATACTTGTAATAGCCAAAACATACAGCACAGACATAACACACAACTTACTTTAATAATCCAAACAAACAAACAAATAAAAGTATTGCAAAAAACAACCTGCAAAATCTTCAAAGTTAGAAACTGTAAGGAAGACGCTATCGATGAATCAAATTGGTGATAAATTTTATTTGAAAATTGCAATACTGTAAATCAATGCAACATTTTTCCCAAGGTACGCGTCTGATTTTTCATTGCAAACAAAGGACACATTCTTACAGATTGACTCGCGCTTGTTTTGTTCAATTTGGAGTCGTGGATGGATTAAACTATAATTGCAGTATTTTCAAATTTGATTTTATACGCTTATTCAAACCTTTGTGGGTAAAGTATCCGGAGGCTCTATTCTTGTAGCTGGATTCCAACATCCAGGTGGCAGCACTGTTGTTTGACTGGTGAATTCCTGAATTCCAGTTAATAAATCTATCTCCGATTCAGCTTTGTATGCTACTTCCCTAAAAATCTAAAAAAAAAGATATTGTTTAGAATGACTTTTTCACTCCTTTATATTCCTATTACATTCGTATTATTAGATCTGTGTAGTATTGTGTGGTCTGATGGTCATTTTTTTGCCATTTTTCTTTCGACCATGGTGTTCTCTGTCTTTCTTCAATTTTCGATTTCGATGTTGACATGTAATTCTTTTCTACCTTTTATATATATCATGACATAGTGCAATGTAATTTTTTTTTATAATATCATATTTAGAATATTTGACCTTGGTTGTCATCAGTGGTTTTAATAGATTGTCTACAGTGATCATGCTGTATCACTAGCATGTCAACACTGAGGTTGTGAGTTCGAATCCCTCACAGGGCAGGTGCACTTGACTCCAATCTTAATTTACTAGGAATGCCAGTTTTCCCACCGAAGGTCGGTGGTTCTCTCCGGGCACTCCAGCTTCCTCCGCCAATAAACATTGACCGCCACGAAATAGCACAATAGCGTTGAATTGGCATTAAACACCAATCAATCAATCAATATACAGTGATCACTAGCCTGTCAACACCGATATTGTAAATTCGAGTTCGACTCTGATCTCAAATCGACTTTTCAGAATCTATAAGTGACTATGGGTCATCGCATTGTTCGTACACCAAAATGATTATAACGTTAGTCATTGGATCAATTTCCTTTGTTTGGAATGTTTTGGTGTACGGATATCGGTATCGGTATCGGATTAAAAAAGAATGATAGGTTGAATTTGTAAACTCAAATTAAACAAAATGAGCGATCTTTTGATTGGCCTTATCTAAAAGTGAAGAATGGATAATTTTACTTGTCATGAAAAGCGTAGATATTTATCAAAGACGACTGACTTGGTGCAGTATTGAAAATTAAAAGTAAATAACTGAATATATTTAATGATAAATACATTAACATTTGAAAGAATGCATGTTCATGTTTGAGGTCATATAGTAAAACCAATCTGGATATGTTACACACATTGATTTGTCCAACTGATAACTTTTTCAGCTTTGTTTTCTGGGGAGGATTAGGTTTTTGTCGACTCGGGTGTGCTTCTGTTCCCTTGTAATAATCATAATATTTTTCGTCTCGCTCGACTCGGTCATTTTTAGTTTTTTCGTTCCCTTACATTGAAATCTAGATGATTTTTATCCATTAAACTACTTACATCATCTGTGATCAAGGTTCCCATACATCGAGCAGCTTCCTCTGCTGGTTCCAAATTCCCTTTTGGAACCAGTAAAATAAACAGGAAACGAGTTGGCAGATCCACTTCCGTTATCATTCCAATATCACTAGCAGTTTGAAGCCGTACAAAAGCACACAGATTTCCCTTTAAACCTTCGACTTCACCTACCATGATATTCATTACTTCGGAACCTTGTGGTATCTTCTTCTTAAATTTCGTATTCCTCTGATAACCAAAAATTATATCAAATTTATAACTAGGTAAAGATACTTTCGTTGTCAATACAATGGAATTTTATATGACTGTCATACAGGTGAGAGGTTTAGCTAGCTATAAAACCAGGTGTAATCCACCATTTTCTGCATAAGAAAATGCCTGTACCAAGTCAGGAATATGACAGTTGTTATCTTTTCGTTTGATGTGTTTGAGCTTTTGATTTTGACATTTGATTACGGACTTTCCAGTTTGAATTTTCCTCGGAGTTCGGTATTTTTGTTATTTAACTTTTTAAATACCATATGTACCAAAACATAAATTTAAAAATAATACTTTATAAATTTCACGCGTTCGAATGGCTTTTTTTTATTTACCTTGATCAGGAATGCGCAAAGACAAATATTCAAATGCCAAGGATGTTTAGGATCTGGAACAGTTGAAGCGCTATATGAGAAAAAAGGATCTTTAAATAAGACCAAATTTATCTTAGGTTCACTTACCTACGGGAGTTAAAACCTGAGTTTCTTAATGAGTTATGAAATTACAAAAGGACAATTTTAGAATGTTAACTTTATTGTAAATCATGTCAATACCAAAGTATCGACTACTGAGCTGATGATACCCTCGGAATACCCTCGGAAGTAAAAATGCGGTTTTTTTTTATTCTAAGTGTAACCATGTGTATTAACAGTAAAGTCCAAATTAACATAGTATTTACGTTTACGATTTTATATCATGTAATTTGTTAATTGATATTAAATATATTTAAAGAGGAAGATTTGTCTTGTCTAATTTATTTAGAGAAATCTATACATATCAGCTAGATAATGATTCTCGGAATAAGATTGTCTTCAATATCGCATGTTTAGTATGTACATCTATAAACATAATGACATACTTGTGGAACAATATCTATGTTCAATATTATTACCACTTGACCTTATAGCAGAAACAAATATATTGAAAATGTAATGCATAATATGTAAATGTCTCGTCTGCTTTGTTCAACTTACTAATTACATTACATGACTTTTTGTATATTTCATTATGATACGTTATGTTGATTGGATAACAGCAATCTCGCGTCATTCTGAAACTTACCTTCATTTCAAAATAAAATGTAACGTTCATGATGACACGAGCTTTCAAAATAAAGTGCACAGGTAAGTAAAAGAGTACTTGATATAAATCGTGTTTCCGTGATCCTAGCAAAAAATGTTGAATGCTTCTTTTAGTAAATTTATAGGATTGTTAAAGAGTTGACCGTACGCACATTTTTAGAATGAATCGCGTTAATAATGATATAAAAACGTTTACCTCCCCATCCGAAAGTGCAACCTCGTTTTTATGATCGGATGTTCCGGTTTCAGTACTGTCCATTGTTTCAGTAGATTCCGGACTAGGGTTGTATGCCTCTGAAAAAAGAAAAAGACTATGAACAACAAAATTATTTATTTTGTAAAAATTATTTCCTTACTCCATGTTTACCTTACAACAAAATTATTTCTATTTTCCTGTGTATGTTATTTTATTTAGCGGCATTTTGTCCAAGGTTATGGTTGTTTTTCTGGAATTGTTTTACGTCTAACCCCCTTGTTTAATTAATTTTTTATTTTATATTGTGTCATAGATCAAACGTTTTCGTTCAGTGTATGTTAACTTGTTTTTGTTAATATGTCTTTTGATTGAGTTAAGCCGTTTCAATTGATATTTTATAGTGTGTCTTTCTATGTTGTGATGTTACACTATTGTTTCAGGTAAGGTGATGGTAGACGCCTATTAAAACGTTTAAACCCACTGCATTTGTTTACACCTGTCCTAGGTCAGGAACTTGATGGTCAGTGGTTATCGTTTGTTGATGTGGTTCATAAGTGTTTCTCGTTTCTCGTTTTTCATATAGATTGTACCGTTGGTTTTCCTGTTTGGATGGTTTTACACTTGTCATTTTTGGTGCCCGTTATAGCGTGCTGTTCGGTGTGGGCCAAGGCTCCTTGTTGAAGGCCGTACTTTGACCTATAATGGTTCACTTTTTACAAATTGTGACTTGGATGGAGAGTTGTCTCGTTTGGCACTCATACCACATCTTCTTATATATGTGTACATTTCGAGTCAATACTGAAATTGTGCTCCTAACTCTTTCACCCTTCGACAAACATGCTATCGATCGATTTGCAAAATAGAGAATAATTGGTTTAAAATAAAAAGTATAGAGAAAAAGAATTAGAAAAATAGCGAATCCAGTAATAAGGATGCTTAATATAAAGAATACAGAATAATTGTCCATAAAATAAAGAATAATGAAAAACGGCCTAAAAGAAAGAGTACAGCGTTAAAGACGTTCCTATCGAGACAATCATAAAATTGTACTGATATCTTATCTCACTTGGTTTATTTTCAAGTATATTCAAATGTTAAAGCTGGCATATGGGAATATAATATATGAACTGTTCGTACATATTAGGAAAATATATATCTTATTTGTAAGAGCTGTAGACATACTTTATGGAAAGAAAAGCGAGACTCGTCGAGCTTTTCTCCTGTTGCTTAACAAGTTTTAAAATCTATTTTTATAATTTTCCTATAACATGTAAATTGTTCGAATATTGTTGTTATCCTGCTCAATGTATATCTATTATATTTGCAACACGTTGATTGTTTTTTTAAATGAATCAACATGACTGAAACGAGAACCACGAAGAGGACCCAAATATGAATTGTGATGTAAACAGTAATTTGACTGTTGCCGTTCGCTTGTAACTAAAACAGGATACAGGCCGTCTATACACGTCAATGTAATATTTGTTATCTGTACACCTGTATAATTATGCATCGTGATATGCATAGTAAAGATTTCGATTTCAGGAGAAATAGAAACACAAATATGTAAGCAATGTGTTCATGAATCAAAATACTCGAATATTTAAGATAAAAGAGCTTGCTTCCTCATAATTATGATAATTTAGGACAAATTATGATGAAATTTTAAATCTCAAAGACTTACAACGAAACAGTTGCCTAATAAACAAAACCGGCTGGCAGCCCATTTTTTTTAACTCGATTATAGTTAGACTAAAATCCTCAATTTCTAGGTAGAATCTCCAAAAAAAAAATCGGTTAAGCGCCTATATTCGATCGTCGCAGTTGAAATATTTTTTTTTGGTTTATCAATGATTGGTATTGACTAATCTGTGTAATTTTTGTCGATGTGTTTAACTTAAAATACAATGAAAAGGTAAAGACAAATGTTTCTTTAAAATGTAGACTTGTTCTATGTCCTTTATCCGTTTGGCTCGGACAACAAGAATGATTCAGATACCCTTGTGTTGCAAGGGAGATAACCGCCTAATTAAAGAATATACTTACGATTTGTATGACTCTTTGAGTCATTCGGGGTATCTCGGTCTTCGTCTTCACTCTGACTATGATTTTCGGACAATTGTGCCTCCGATCGTATCTTTGGCAGACGAATTTTATGAAGATGTTTATGAAGCGTCTTGTGTTTGTGTTTCTTCAAGAGAATTGCTCTGACATGGTTCCATAACAAGGGCTGTAAAGTACCATCGCTAGACCAATGTTCCAGTAAAAGATCTAGAATTAAACAACAGATGATAAAATGGAATTTACACCATGAAAAATGAAGAATCGTATGTTAGAAAACATTAAGACTTTTTAAGAAGATAGAAGAAGCACAATTGGTATCGTCCAAATTCAACAAATTTGAATCTATTCAACAATCAAAGAAACACATTTTTTTCTACTAGCTAAATCTGTAACTTGTATTCTATTATCTTTTATAAATTGACGGTGTGGACAGATATTTTCTTTATTTTAATTTTTCTAAGAAACTCTCAGGAGTATTCAATTCAACCTGTAAAAATGGTCCTGAAAATGAGTATACATTGTTGAATCTAAACTATTTTGATTTATAATGACCATTCCGACTCCTTGGCTTTCAAATATTCGGCTTTACTCGTTTCTGATAAAGGTAAATCAAGAAAAGCGCTTCGGACGCATGACATTTATAACGTGTTGTTTTCGTTTTTCGACAGTCATATTCGTAAAACCAGTATATCAAAAGTAAACAAAGGACAGATACTACGTACATATCGGTTGTCATAATTAAAAGGTCAGCATCTATTTCCTTCTCACCTACTATTTCGAACATAGATGTCGCTTCTAGATCTAGCAGCACGGGATTGGCTGTTACAATCATGTGTAACTCTGTGAGGTACTGCATGCACAAGGATGACACGTGGGGCTTGGACCATCGTTTACCATCCTCTTCAAGTTCCTCCTCAAACTTTACCCAACTGTTTAAAACGAGAGAGTCTTATCAATATAATAGGAACACTGACAGAAAGACGTATGTATCTCTATGCTACGCCGGATAATGAATTGTCTCACATACACCTTGTGTGGATAAACAAATGAAACATACGACTATCTTTGCTATGAAAGAACTGGTCAGACATGTCAGCATTTTAATAAAATTATTCAAGTAAGCAAATGCTCGATAAGGACAGAACAACAGATGAAGTGTGAAAATACTGCTGTATAAACTCGAAAAACAATATAATTTGTGATGCACACCAAGCTGAGGGTTAACAAAGGTACATGTTCACTAGGACTTCCTCGTCTGGCAATAAAAACCCTTTCTAATAGGGGTGACCGGTTGGCATCAATGTTAATATGTGGAATGGATGCATACGTACTCAGGCAAACCAGTCGGAAAGAGGAGATTATAACTAAGTGAAAATAAAGCTTTGACATTATAAATTTTAGAATTGATTTAAGGATTTTATACAATATTCCTTTTTGTAGAATATGTGTACCAAAGATATCGACCCTATCTCTTTGTGCTTTCACTTTATCGTTTGAGTGACTGGCAAATTAATAAATGTTATACTTTTCCATTTAATTGTTATATGGACACATTTACACCTTTAAAACAGAAATATAACAGTAGTGTCACACAATTTTTTTCATTCGCCATTTTATTCATCGACAACAGCTCCATTAGAATCTTATCTGAGTTCGTTTACAAGTAATTCATATAGCAGTCAATATGACTGCACAGTTGGCTGCAAACCGTGGCTGAACATTCACGGTATTACTAATAATCTTTGTCTGTCAATGCAAATTTCTTAATGTTATACTTTAATGTTTAATTGTTATTTGGACAAGTTAACATCTTAATAAAAAGTGAACAAGATGATACATTGTGACAAATTTTGTTATCTTCCAATTTATTTTATCGACACCAGTTTCTTTAGAGTCTGAGCCGAGTTTGTTTGGCAGTAATATGTGTAACAGTCTGGTGGCTAACCGTAGCGCAACATTTGTATTAAGAAAAGACGATATGATATGATTGCCAGTGAGACAAATATCCACCAGTGACCAAATAAAGTTTTTAGCATGTTAGTAAAGTGATATTAGGAAGTGTTTCATAATACCTACCGCCTGACTTCCTTCCAAACAGATTCGTCATGGAATGGTCTCAGAGCATCCATTTGACAGAACACGTGACATATCTCGCTTTCACTTTTGCCAATAACAATATCTGGAATCCCATTGGTTTTTGGATTTTCTTCCCCAGACATTTCTGGAAATGTCAATTATAACAAGAGGCTTATAAACAAAGAGTATACGATTGCCAATTATATAAGTCAGAATGGTTAATCTCTCTCTCTCTCTCTCTCTCTCTCTCTCTCTCTCTCTCTCTCTCTCTCTCTCTCTCTCTCTCTCACAAACTCTTTTATAGAAATAAAAGTTTCATATAATATTAACAAGATTTGGTAAAGTTGATAATGAGACAACTCTCCAACAGATACCAAATGACGTAGAATTTAACAACTATAAGTCAACGTACGGCCTTCAACAATGAGTCTAACCCATACCGTGTATGATTGTTGTTACATGTATTCATTGTGTACTGAGGCACGTGCCGTTAATTAAGTCTGAAACGCAGTTACTGTTGAATAGTCAAACTTAATGTGTATTATATATACATTTCATATTTTACAAGCAAAAAGTATGATTTATGGACATTATGATCATAATCCATCTTGTTACTGCGTTATTTCATATTTACAAGTTTAAGACAACCACAAATCTTTTTATAAGTCATTTAGCGAATACTAAATAAACTATGAAATATAAAATAGTAAGAACTGGTTACCTGCAATGCAGAGCTACTATGAGAAGTTAAGAGGTATCAATGACTAATTTTGCAGTGGATTTGCGTTACTTATGGGGTCAAATCCAAAATAAGACGAACCCTAGTGGACTTTGAAAAGAAAATATTCTTTATAATGTATGTAAGAGTTTTTGCAATACTTTTCCATATATTCATAAAATCAAAATGTTATTTTGTACAAAACAGTTTGTATATTGCTATTGAAGATGTTGACGGGGCACCTGGCATAACCCCCAAGTTTTGGTGATGTTCGTGGTGCTTAGTCTTTAGTCAATGAAATATTTTATAGACTGTTGTCTGACTTTTCGTCGTTCTTCCTTCTTTTCTTTGCCACGATATTGCCGGTTTTCTTTTCTTTGCCACGATATTGCCGATTTTCTTTTCTTTGCCACGATAAAGCCGATTATCTTTTCTTTGCCACGATATTGCCGATTTTTTTTTCTTTGCCACGATATTGTCGATTTTATCTTCGATTTATGATTTTTGATTGTCCAATAGGCATATTCCTCCTCTTATTTTATGAAAAAGTATTAAATAAATTGAAATTGTTTTATGTTTGATGGTATATTTTTGCCTCAAATATCCTTAACAGACATTCTTATGTTAGTATATAAAAGAGAATTATTAGATTGACTGCCGATAGAAATTTGGTTAAGAATGTCCTTCTCGTTTATTTTTGGATTAATACTCGAAAAACACCCAAATCTTTCAAAAATTGCAGCTTTATAGATATAAGAAGATATGGTATGAGTGCTAATGAGACAACTCTCCATCCAAGTCACAATTTGTAAAAGTAAACCATTATAGGTCAAAGTACGGCTTCAACACGGAGCCTTGGCTCACACCGAACCGCAAGCTATAAAGGGCCCCAAAAATGACTAGTGTAAAACCATTCAAACAGTAAAACCAACGGTCTAATCTATATAGAAAACGAGATACGAGAAACACTTATGAACCACATCAACAAACGACAACCACTGAACATCAGGTTCCTGACTTAGGACAGGTGCATCAAATTAAGCTATTTTCATGCATTCATAATTTGGCGTCAATTTCAGAAATACGACGCAATGTCATTACAAACATATGCTACACATGTGAAGCTGTGATAATGTAAAATTTGATAAAAATTGTAGAATCTTTGTTATTAGTTTTCATATGGTTTGAAAATGAATTGCTATTTCGTGGCGGTCAGTTTTTATTGGCGGAGGAAGCCGTAGTGGCGGGAGAGAACCGCGGACCTTTGGTAGGAAAACTGACCATCCTAGACAATTAAGATTGGAGTCAAGCGCACCTGCAACGTTCGGGATTCTAACTTACAACCTTAGTGTTGACAGGATAGTGATACAGTAGTTCGACTACTTAGACCACTCGACCACCGAGGGAAATGATTTAGTTTAATAATTCACGACACAACACTCGTGCGTTTATACGCTCGCTTGGCAAAAAAACAATGTCAAAGGAACAACGCGTGTAATAATGTTTGGACTCAATGTCACAACAAAGCCTTCAAAACGGAGAAAAATCTCACACATCAAGAAAACCATCGCACAAGCTTTTTTCTACTTCGTACTTTATTTATTTCATATCACTACAATATTTCTATGATGCTACTTCCGGTAAATGATGTTACATCCGGTAAATGGTCAACGAACACTGAACAATATCATGGTTTATATGGTTATATTATTCACTAATGTTATTTCCATATTTGAGCTGTTTTTACTTTGTATCTATATAATTGTAAATTTGTAATGTCCTAATCATTGTACTGATTTTGCCCATAATGAGTCCTCTTTTGGAAATACAATTTATCTTATCTTACCTTATCTTTTATTTTGATTTCAGAAGCCTTTTATTTACAATAAAATTATATATTTCATGTAAAAAATATTCTGAGAATTAATTTATATGTAATTTTTATATCCACAGATTTATAATTTTTGTTTCTGAAGGTTTATCACGTTATACGTCTTTACGTTATACGTCGTTTTATTCTCATACCAGAACAGTAGACATATATTAGCCTCGTGATATAAAAATCCACCATTTGATTAATTAAAGTTGTTAAGAATTAATTTTTTAAACTTATCTGACACAGAACAAGGATAACATATTCAATCAAATTAAATTTGTGAGACAAATAAACAAAAAATAAGTACGAACAAGCTTTTAGTTATTTACAACTTCAATAATAGTATAAGTGTGGGATTTACGCCAATGAGACAGCAAACCAACGACCACAAAAAACATCTAGAGGTCTCAGTACAATCTGCAACAAAACAAACGTGTCAGGTGCATGACAAGCGAAATATACTTTATGTCAAACTCTTAATCGGTCCGAGGCCATAAAATTTATGAACAAATTAAACAGAAAATTATCATATATCTAAACAACATTCTCCAAAAATACAAAAGACTTGTATATCTGTCGAAAGTTCAACAAAATAAAACTAAATATGTAACTCTTTTATTTGATTTGAACCTCTTTTACTTGAGCCAATTTATAATATTTCAGTTTAGAAAAACAGTAGAAAAAGAGAATTTTTGACTCATGATAGAGTTAAATAAATTTTAAATAGGCCTTGATTTAATAACATATGACTTTGAGAAGAAGACCAGTAATAGAATCGATGCTGATGTGTTATGCGCGAGTTTGTGTCGTGAATGTGTACACCATTTTTGATTTTCAATATCACAGAAATAGATAAACACACTAAGATAGGAAAACCATATGAACTTAAGCACCTAGAGGAGCTGTCTGTAACCGCTTACCCTTTCTGAATTAACCCCCGGTTTTTTAAGGGGAGGGGGTTTGTTTTTCGTGTTCCTTTATCTTTAGTTTTCAGTGTAGTTAGCCTCCTCATGGGGTTTTTTAATATGTGATTACTTTGCTGTTTTGATAGTGATTTTTTTATAACCAGACCAAATATTTCATGATTATTTGATAATTTGATAATCTAGGACTGTATTTTTGATTATTTGATTATCTTGTTTAAAAAATTATAAATGATTATGTGATATATTGGCCAAAAATTGAGATTATGTGATTACTTGGATACCCCGTTGAGGGGCCTCTGTAGTGTGTTGTTGGTTTTTATTCTTTCCGGGGTTTTTTTGGTTTTTGTTTTTACCATGATTTTGTCCGACTTTCACTTTTATTTTACTACATTGTAATGGCTTGTGACTGTCTCATTGATATCTTCTATCCCCCCCTTTGTTTTTCTTTTTTTTTTTCTTTTTCTTTGAGGGGGATAGGGGTATCCGGATGGATGGCAATCAAAAATGATAAATGAAAGAAGGAACTTGGTTAAACGGAAATAGACGAAACTTCTAATAAAACTTCACAAAAACTATGATTACATGGAAACCTAAAAACCAAGCAAAATAAACCTAATAGAAATAGAAATGTACCCAAGTGCTCCAAAAGAGCCAGTCAGTAATGAATATGAGGAGATGCCAATGAGACAAATATTTACCCGAGACCAAATGACGTAGATGTAATCAACAATAGGGTCGTTGTACGGCCTTCAACAATGACAAGGCCCCTACATGACACAATGTAAGACAAATGATTCTAAACAAGAAAACCAACGGTCTGATTTATGTACACAACAAAAACGAAAACACAAATGATAGACAGTAACTCACGACAACCACTGAACTTTACAGACTTCTGTCCTGGGACAGGCACACACAGCAGTTTGTCATTTTTTGGCATTGCATTGGAATATATGTGGTTATTTGCGTGCATTTTGTCAAATAATCTGACTGCAGATACTTTGCCTCTTTTGACACAATTGTGAAAACTGCTGAATCAAGAAACCGAATTGTGATTGACGATAGTTGTATTTCTGTTTGGAATGATTTTTAAAGCACGTGGGTGTTCGTAAAGCTTACTTTTGTGAAGCTAACCGTCGATAACAGCCGGCGTTAATATTCATGAGGCCAGCCTTCAATAATATTCATGAGCCATCAATAAATAACATTCACGAAATGATTTGCGTTCGATAATATGTTGTTAGAGAAACTATCGATTATTATGATAAAATAACGTGTTTTGTTTATATTTGATCTTGTTTCAAACAGGCAAGTCAATGGGTGTCTTCTTTGAGGTCCGCGTTTGTTTAATCAATTATAAAAAGGAACCATTAGTCTTCTGCAATGTCTGTGTCTTTTAACAACATTTAAAATGAAAGTAAAAAAAAAGGTTCATAAAAATAGAACCAAGAACCGATCTAGTCAAAATTCTGTGATTAGTGAAATAGTGCAAACTGGAACAACAACAAAAAAAGGATGATTAAGTATAGAAATGTAACGATTACTATAAACAAAGAAATTTAACGAAAGAGATGAAATATGCATAATTATAAATCTTGAAAACTGTATATTCCCTCAGACAAATTAAATAGAACAGTTCTTATGAATATCTCTGACTTCTCGAAGTATTTAAATATTTAGAAATTATACATAACACGTAAACTGAAAGAGATTAAAAGCAATTAATTGCCATATGGGTATTCCATTCTGTTCGTTGTCTACAAATATAGTTCCATCTCAACAGTCCTACATACCGTAAATGCGATCGTTTATCTTCTATTTTAAACAGCCCAGACAAACAAAAAGTTTTACAATTTAAGAAAAAAGAAGAAGAAATAAAAACTGCCAGCTTTTTTTACACAAGTGTAAAGCTTACTGTTTATTAAAACCATGCAAGTCAAAATTTAATCAACTTCACGAATAATACATGATGGTCTTGAAGTATAGATTCTAGGTACTGACGTTGTTTATCATCTTAATTACATGTTATAGTGTTCTTTTATTTGTCTTTGTAAATTATTAACCTTTATTGTTTTGTCCATTTTGCGTAATATCCTTTTGGCGTGGCTCGGTACTTAGTTGAGCTGTGGTCATTTTTATATTCTCGTCTTTCATTTTTGCTTATGGGCTTTGTCTATATGCTTTGTTTTTCTTTTTTGACATATTTATTTGTTTTTATAGTGATTAAGATTATAAAACAATGCTGACTGATGTACCCTTATTTTTGACATTTTTACCTATTATAAAATTGAGAATGGAAATGCGGAATGCGTTAAAGAGACAACAACCCGACCAAAGAGTAGAAAACAGCCGAAGGCCACCATTGGATCTTCAACACAGCGAGAAAATCCCGCACATGGAGGCGGTCTTCAGCAGGCCCCTAAACAAAATGTGCATTAGTTCAATGAAAATGGACGTCACACTAAACTCCAAAACATATAAGTGAACTAAAATTTAAAAAAAAAACATACAAGACTAACAAAGGCCAGAGGCTCCTGGCTTAGGACAGGCGCAAAAATGCGACGGGTTAAACATGTTTTGTGAGATCTCAACCCTCCCCCTATACCTCTAGCCAATGTAGAATAAACAAACACACAGCAATACGCACAGTAAAACTCAGTTTAAAAGAAGTCCGAGTCCGATGTCAGAATAGGTAACAAAAGAATTTAGCAAAATGACAATGATGAATAAATTAACAAGGGACTACTAGCAGTTACTGACATGCCAGCTCCAGACCTCAATTTAACTGATTGAAAGATTACGTCTTTATATGAAAATTAAGCACAATCCCTCCCGTTAGGGGTTTAGTATCATACCATCATAAAATATACGAGAAGAACATAACCCGTATCATGCCAACAACTGGTTTTAGAATAAATGTGTTTATTTCCGATACATAGACCCTATGAGTGAATCAATATTAATACCAAAATATGCCATCTTTAATGATATGACAACTGTATCGTAACTATATCCCTTCTGAATAAGTCTGTTTAAAGGTCTGGTTAGCTTTTGAGGTGAATGTCGAATTTTTGTGCTTTGTAAAGAATATTACCATAATAGATTGGATGAGAATTACCTGAACGTATAAGATGTCTGCATTTTGATTTATATTTACGAATGAATTCCTTGTACCGATGACAAAATTTAGTAAATTTTTTGACTGGTTAATGATATCGAAAACTATGGTGTAATAATTTTTTAGTAATACAGAGGTTTCTTTCGTTAAAATCAAATACGTTGTTACATACACGAGCGAATCGAACAAGTTGAGATATATAAACACCATAAGATGGTGACAAGGGAACGTCACCATCTAAAAATGGATAATTAACGATAGGAAATGAAAAATCATCTCTTTTGTCATAAATTTTGGTATTAAGCTTCCCGTTAAAGATATAGATATCTGTTTGTTTTGTTCACACATGCATTGTTTTCAATATAATGGTATTTTATGCGACTGTCATATAAGTGAGAGGTTTAGCTAGCTATAAAACCAGGATTAATCCACCATTTTCTACATAAGGAAATGCCTGTTCCAAGTCAGGAATATGACAGTTCTTTTCCATTCATTTGATGTGTTTGAGCTTTTGATTTTGCCATTTGATAAGGGACTTTCCGATTTGAATTGTCTTTGGAGTTCGGTATTTTTGTTATTTTACTTTTTAAAGGAAATAGAGACAAGACAATGACACCAAAAGTAATACCATTGAATTATGATAATTATTACGGGCTGTGTATAGGTAGTGCGAGCATTAGTCTAACTTTTGAAAAACTATTATAATAAACTGACCGACGTTAAGGCGTGAGTAAAATATAACAGATATATAAAGAACACAGGAAAACGGCAAAACTAATGCACTCTTCAGATCGTTAATAATCGTACCAGTCTTGTAATTTGCAGTTTTGTCTCATTGTATTAAAGAAGACGTTCAAAACTAGAGGTCTGTTGTTATTTATTTGTTTTCCTTTTTAGGGAGCTGCCATTTGATTTTTATGGGGGGACTAGGATGAAAAATTTTGTCCTGCATTTTTTTTGGTTGTTATCTCTGTCCTGCCTTTTTATTTTTTCACTCTATTCGGTCCTGCCTTTTTTTTTTTAGCTTATCCTGACTTTTTTTTACATAAATTGTCATCCTGCCTTTTTTTTTGCGAAGTGTCTCATCCTGCCTTTTTTTTTACTCCTATCCTGCCTTTTTTTTTAAATTTCATCCTAGCAATTAAAGGCAACCGTACGGCCTTCAACAATGAGAAAACCACATACCGTATAGTCGGCTATAAAAAGCCCTGACATGAAAAATATGAAACAATTCAATTGAAAAACCCAACAGCCTAATTTATAACAAAACAATTTACGAAAATAAATATGACAGACATAAACCAACGACAACCACAGAACTAGTTTGCTGGTACCATTCCCTCCCGTAACCTAAGACAGTGGTGTAACAGTACAACATAAGAACATACTATAAAAATCAGTTGAAAAAGGCTTAACTCACCAGATCGATACAAAGCAGAAAACATCTAACGAAAACACAGAGGCATGCTTCAAGAATAAAATTAACCCTAGTATATAAGTATCCCAACGAGGTAGTGATATACAGATAATCAAGCATAATACATATTTGAAAGAGTATTCATACACTTAGTTAGTCCATATTAAAAAACTTACCTTAATTGTCTAAGTTGAAATGTAAAAAACATACAATATATGCTACTCAATGTTGTACAATGCTTCCATTTGATTCAAATACGAAACAAACATTGCTGCTGCAGTGATCACGTGACCAACAAGCCAGAGACCAACGACAAATTTCAAGAACGCCCCTATAATTACATTGTTATTGTGTATTACAAGTGAATTGATGAGGAATGTCGGTAAATAACATTAATACTTGTAATTTAAAGTGTTAATTTGTATGTTGCAAATCTGTTTTATGACAACAATTTGACCTTTAAGGTCACTCTTCCTCAGGGAAAGCCCTTCAAATTTAATTAAAAAAAACATGCATTTCTCTTTTTTTTCAAGGCTGGTATAGGTAGATATTAATATGTAAGTTAAATACAGGTGAAAGTTTTATTTATCTGAAATCACTGAAATTAACATGCATGCTCCGGAGGGTAAAGGTCATTAGATTTAAAATTGCCGCTTCGTTCTTTGTATAAGGCTGTAGTTTTATCATTTTTTATAACCAAAATTGTGCATATTATAGTTGTAGCTAAAGAAAATATTGCAGAATATTAATTGTCTGAGATATAATTAACTTACGTTTAAATTTCTCTCTCTGTAAATCTTTAAAAGTTAACAAAATATATTTATTATTAGATACTTATGTCTTGCATTGGTCGAATTTGAAGACATTTCTTGAATCCTTGAAATGAAAGGTCATTGGAATTATTTCCAGACAAAAGAGAAGATTGTCGACGACTGTGTTGTAATCCATTTGCATTCGTTGTGTCCGTTCTACTGTCTTACGCTAATTCAAATATAACATTCTACAGTTCCCCCTCCCATATCTGATAGAACGCATTTATTTTATTTAATCAATGTAAACATACTATAGAAAATAGAGTCAAAAAATTCTGCAGCAGTTGAATGCACGAATGACTTCAAGTGACTTAATTGACGCTTTACCATTGAAGTATTGATTAAGAAAGTCAACTTTCACAGTGAGTGAACATGTCAAGCAAAATGGACTTTGTGATGTACTAACTTATTCAGTTTAAACAGTTCTTCCCTCCGATTTCTTCCACATGTTTTGCCCGTCCCATATTAGGCTAGCAGGGCCATGTGTTGTTAGTTGTTGGTGTCTTTGTGGCCTTCATTTATTTTAAGGATCCAAACCCATAGAGTTATACTAAACTATTCTGAACACTGAACATTACCCTAATCCATACCTAACTCTAACACTAACCCTTAAACCTAACCCTAGCCTAGAACATCGCCTAACCTAACTATAACCATAATTGAATCCTAACCCTTAAACCTAACCCTAACCTAGAACATCCCCTAACCTAACCATAACCATAATTGAACCCTAGCCCTTAAACCTAACCCTAACCTAGAACATCCCCTAACCTAACCATAACCATAATTGAACCCTAGCCCTTAAACCTAACCCTAACCTAGAACATCCCCTAACCTAACCATAACCATAATTTAACCTAACCCTAAAGTAAAGGGGCCCTAAAGTGAAAGAAGGTCGTCTTTGTAGGTACGTCTTTTTGTGAGGAGTTGGATGTTGGTGGTTGTCGTGCTCTGTTGAATTGTCTTAAATGTTGGTGATTCCTGGTATCGTGTTTATGTATTATGTTACTAAATGAATATCCTCTTGATTTCAAGATACTTAGGTCTTCAGTGACTTTGAGCATTCCTTGATGTGGTATAATTTTGTTCAATATTGTTCTGTTTGACACGTGCTTTTGTTATAAATTATACCGTTACTTGAAAACTTAGTGTGTTCGTATACTGCTTCTTGTAGTTAATAGTTATGTATATTTTTTACTTTTCACCAACAGAGATAAAAAAAAAAAGAGAGTATATAATTGAGATCTCAACACTAGATTTACCATTCATATGGTCATGCGCCCCTGTAATTCTTAATATAATATACACCTATTGACTGGGTGTGAGGGTAATAGCAAGTTTGTTGTCCCTGAGATACCAACTATTGCTTGAGGCAAAGCCGAGAGCAATAGTTGGTATGCGAAGGGACTACAAACTTGCTATTACCCGCACAACCAGTCATTAGGTGTTTTATTATACTGAACAACACAGTCATTAAGTGTTTTTATATACCAAATTAACTAATTTTCTAAAAGTGTACATATATCATCTGAAAGAATAGAAAAAAATGTCACATAACTTGACATGCAAAAGATGAACTATACGTTTTTTTATAGTTCTTCTTGTATTTGTAAATATTTCATTTATTGCAATCAAGACTAGAAATACTTGTGTTAAATTTTCTGTGCATATGATAAATTTAAGCTAAAGTACACCAAACGCAAATTCGCTTTTAGAATACGACGACCGAACCCATATTATGAATAAGGTACTACATTTTAGATCTTTAAAAAATGCGCGGGAAGATTTTCTCTCTTTTATAATTGCTTCTTGTAAGTGAAATTACAATCGACACAAACAGATTATACCGTTTACAATATCAGAGTTTGACGTTGCCAAGCAAAATAGTCAATGACATCATTATTGTCCAATGAAAAATAAGCATGAAAAAGTACGGGAAAGATGATTATGAAACTATTAACCGGGGTAATAGTCTTTGAAACTATTGACTGGCAAATAGTCTGTGGAATGAAATAGCACAACTATTTCATTATTTTTTATATAGAAAAAACATACTGAGGTATAATAAATCCGATTGTTTCCGTTCTACTGGCTTCAACTTGATTATCATAGTTAGCTGAGGTAAATCTACTGTGTATAATTTTTTTACTGGAAGCAAACATTTTCCAGTAAAAAGACTATTTACCGGTTTGTAATTTCGAAAACTAATTACTTAGTACTAGAAGCAAACATTTTCCCGTACTTTCTGCATAATAGCACACTTATTTACTGGCTATTTAGACAATAGCAAGCTTCGCGTCGGGAAATAGATGGTGTCTCGGGGGATAATACATTTCCCGAATAGCCAGTGCATACGTACAAAATATTATCGATATGTTACCTTTATATTTAACCCAGCAAATACTTTTATACTGCACTCGTTCTATTTGAGCAGTCAAAATGCGTTGACCGTATATTTCTATGTCATATACAGTCACTGACCTGATATCACTTTTCCTCATGAATATTTAAATAGAAATTGCCGAAATTATAATTAATTATTCATACGACCTATTCAACCTGTTCTTGTTTCCAATGTATACAACGACTCAAACTTATTTCTTTTGCAATTTTTAGAAAAAAAAAAACATATTTCACTTGTTAATTTTTTTGGTTTGCAAACTATAAATCATTATGTTTTATGCTTATTTTTGATATTTTAGTTCATTCTCAAACAAATTCGTTCACCATCGATTGCGGGTTTCAACAGGTAATGTACATTTCATTGTGTTGTATATTTCTCCGCCTGCATGATATGAGGCCTTTTTATAAAAGGGGGAAGTTTCCAAATATTCAAATCAAATAATAACATTAACACATTAAACAACAATTGAAAATGTTTGTTTTTAGATTGCAGTATAAAGACAATAATAGTGCATTGACTTGACATATCAACGATATAAGGATTCGGCCCGAAACGGGGAAAAAGCTCGGCAGAGCCTCGCATTTCCCCGTTTATAAGCCTCATCCTTATATCGTTGATATGTCAAGTCAATGCACTATTATTGTCTATGTATACAGTCTGTTTTTCCAGGCGATTCCGTGCATTTCCGGCTGTTTCCGTGTGATTCCGATTATATAACCTTCATATTTAACCTAGCGGTCAGAACGATTGCTAATGGGTGTTCTAATTTTGACATGTGTAGTATCTATATGACAATTAATAATGACCAGTTCACCTACTGTGACAGAAGGTGACGAAGTTATAAATCTAACGAACAAAACGCTTCTTCATCTTACACCAGGCTTTTATTTTCTAGCAAAATACACATGAATGTTACAAAAATAAATAAAGCTAGCTGTTATCTAAAAGTTAGCATACTTTTTTATAATGTGAAATTAAAACAAGTGACTCTAGTGGATTTATATATGACATTTTATTGTTTTTTTATGACCCCGGCCTAATTTGTGTATTGTCATTTTTCCTACTTAAACTAACGGTTTTTCTCACAAAAACTGACAGACATTTGATATATTTACACAAGATATAGGATAACTATACTGTATATAAAAATAAAGAAATGTGGTATGATTGCCAATGAGACAACTATCCCGCAGAGTTCAATAATATGCGAATCATTGTGGCGAAAACAGAAATGCAAAACTTAAGTGTTGTTCTATAATAATTTACGCAGGCAACTCGAACTTAAATGTTGAATTCACGTTAAATTCGCGTTCAATGTTTAAATTCTTCACTTGAAATTCACATTAAAAATGGGAAAATATGGTGAATTAAGCATTAACTTGAAATTCACGCACAAATGACACTCATCTTCTTTTCACGTTATTATATAGGTTGACGTGAAATTCACGTGAAAAACAAAATGGCTTTTAGAATAAATGTTCAATTGTATTTTTAACACCGTTGTTTTGGTTAAAAACTGTTGTATGATGCGTAAACTTAAGGAGGAAACAAACATAGTTTTGTTGTCAATTTCACACTAAAATCGTTATCATGTGATAATAAAAAAAGGTGTCGGGTATAAACGTAAACGAAATAGCAGCTGAGCGACACAAATATCCAAAAGATATTTAGAGAGTAACACATAATGTTCATCAATAGACAGGCATCTATACACTAGGCCAATACAAAATAAGGAGCTGTTGTGTGATTGACAATGCGACAACTATCCCACAGAGTTTAAAAGAAGCAAATTTCAGCATATGTATGTCGTCGCACAGCTTCAACAAAGAGCGAAAGCCTATACCTTATGGTCAGTTATTTTAGGTGTCAGATCACCAATTTACTCCCTCCAATTTAGAACAATGTAAAAGTAACCCTACTTTGACAAAAAATAGTGCTTTTGATGTTATTGTATACTTTAATTAACCAAAAGTTTGCAGAAATGAAACTTTTGGTGAAAGAGAAATATATTTAGACCATTTTGAGCCAAAATTTACTTGTCCATGAGTTTGAATTAAAAATTGAGGATCAATGCGCTCCATAGTATACTAAGATTTTCAG